TGCACCTCTGTATGCTCTGAACTGTATGTCGGATCAGGGTTGGTCCTATTTAGTCTTCATGTACACAAGCAGCTGCTAAACTCGAGTTTAGAAGCTTTTTGCATTTTTTTGCCAAAGCTCCTAAACTCAACTCCATCTAACTCCTATGTACACATAGGCTTTAAGCAGTTTAGGAGCTGCCGCGTGTAGGTGAGGTTAAACCTCGCTCTTCTGAACGTGGAAGAATCACGTTCAGGATAGGAACGTTTTTACCCCAAACTGTGGGAAAGCGCGGTACCGCAGCTGCCGCGTTTTGTGCGATTTGCCACGATTTGCATTTTCCCATGGCCGGCAATGGATAAAGCGGTGGTGAAGTCTACCTTTTTTTTTTTTTTTTTTTACCTGGTCCCCCTGCAGAATCCTGCCAATGTGCATATGCACCACTTACTAACATATTATGACATACTTACTTCTGAGCCTTTTTTGCAGACAGGACCGTTTCTGCATTTTTTCGTATGATTTAAAAAATTATTTTAGGTCTGAAGCTTACATAAACCCCCAAACATGATATGTTTTCTAAAAGCAGACACCCTAGAGAATAAAATAGTAAATGGTAGTTGCAAATGTTTATGTCACACATCATTACCGCAAAGCTGTAGGAAATGCAAAATTACAGCTAAAAATACATTACTTTTAGGGGACACAAATGCAATAAATTTTTTGGTAAAATCTAAAAGATGAGGTTGTGCCATGGAAATAGATACCCAACATGTCAAGCCTGTGAAATGGCGAAAAACTTCAGGCCTCTATATTTTCCACAGGTGATGCTTTAAAAGCCTCCTATAGATCATCAACCTGGCGTTATGGAGGATGTTTGGTGGTGGAATAATTGCTCTTACTCCAGTGTGTGCGGTGATATGTAACATGTGTTTCACAATCAATGTTTTCATGCCTGAGCGCCCCCGACACATACATTTACATTTGTGTTGGGGTGGGGGGAGTCTCAAAAAATTTGAGGGGGATTTTATGTGCTTGGGTGTAACTCTAATTTTTTTACATTAAAAAAAAAGAAAAATGAAAGTGTTACTAAACCCACAACAATAAAATCAGTCTGTATATGCAGTAAAGCATGCTTGTTATACTCACTGTGGAACCTAAGGGGTTAATCCTCCGCATTATATAAAATGGCTGTTTGATCCTGTCTTTTCTGAACATCCCCTTCTTCTGCTGTCCCCAATCCATTTCCTGATAGAACAGAGCCTTGGGGGTAAGTTGCACATGCTCATTTTGGTGTGTATTGCTAGAGAGTTTTTCTTTTCTTGGGAAAGTGCATGTGATCAGCACAAGGCTAATCAGCACTGTGCAGACAGAGGGTAATGCAGCCTCATAGGACTATCAAGGGAGAATGAAAACTCCTCCTACAAGCTTTAACCAGTGCTCTGTTGGACACTGATAGAAGTCACAAGACTGCTATATACTGCTGATGAGAAAAGGTGTCATATTGTCGTCCTGAGGATCCCTCTTCATTGCTGTGCCTCTGCTGTGGATTAGTGCTCCTGCTGCCTGTACCCCGAGTTCCCCAATAAACGCCTGCTCGTTGGATTCTTTGTGATTCGTCTCTGTGTGCTCTCTCTCTCTGTAGTCCTAGTTCATCACAGATGTGTAAAAAAAAAAAGCCAATTGTCATTCAAAGTGCAACTCGCTGAAAGCTGAAAATTGGCCTGGGCAGGAAGGGGGTGAAAATATCCAGTATTGAAGCGCTTAAAGACATAGGGCAAGATTCAGCAGGGATCCTACTATTCGAACTGCTTATAGGACAAGGATACCTTTTCTTTGCAGCATTGGCAACATAATAAAAACATAAAGTGCTTCCTTTTTATTGAAGCAGTATCATACAGGGGGCCTTTCTGCCACCCATACAACAAACTGGTAGGACTACTATTTATTATAATAACAAAAGTTATTACTCACCCAGGGGCATACATGGTAAGGGTACACTTTGCCGAATCCTCGAATCCCCAAATCTAAGCTGCCACATCACATTTGCTGTATATACCAGGCCTGTATCCTTTTCAGACAACTAGCTACTTGATGAACACTGTTGTTTCAAGGATCCTATTCACCAGTGGATTTTTTAATTAAATCCATCCCTTAGTCCACTAACAAATATCTCATTCATCATTTATTTTGGTTCATCTTCATAAAGTGTCCGCTGTAGAGCAAAATATCTATAGTAACAACATTGGGTATGTCTGTATTCAATGTCCAAACCTTGCATGTACCTCCCTGTATGTAAATAATAATTTCAGTGTTCATAGTTATTCATATATTCATAAATCTATTAGCATTGCATTCACAGAAATGTTTTCTATCTATTGTGTCATTCAATTATGCCAAATATAATTGAACCAATTTAGTCAATTAAGTGCTTGATTATCTTGCAAGACTCTATGACACTTCAAACAGTGGTGCTTAATTGAAAATTACCTAAGAGTAGGGATGGATGAATCTGCCCAGGAATGGTTTGAAATTTGTGAAGCCCCAAAATAGCAGCAAATCTCATCAAAGTGTGCAACACAGAGCTGGAGCTTGGACAAAGCCAATGAATTTTGCAAAGATCCTGGTGGGCCCTAATCCACCTCGTGTTTATCCCTGCCACTAATTGATTCCACAGTACTACCTAGAAGCTCATCATGGTATAAATTGAACAAAAAAAACTGTACAAAACCCAGGAGATTGCCTGGTATTTCAAAGAACCCCCACAAAATGAAAAAAGATTGCTTGGAACCACAAGGGATAATAGAGGAACTACAACAGTATCAGGCTGTGGTAGGGGAGAAGCTTTTTCTGCATTTATGCCCACTATCTCAAAGAGATAGATCACTACATTGGGGTGAGCCATTGGAACTGTTAGATACTGATAATAGGAGGGCCAAATGGCCTAAAGAGAGTCAGAGGTTCTGCATGTGGAGACATGTCTGCCTTTTCTATCTCATAGTGCCCATGATCTTGGTCATGCACAGACATTTCTACTTTCTGATATTGAGGATGAGGAAATACCTTGACCTTTTGGAGAAAACATCGAGTAGGTAGCAACAAGAAGCAGTTATGTTCCAGAAGCTGAAGTTTTCTGCAAATGCACTCCAGTAATGAGGAGGGGTGGATGATGAGTTGGCAGACCATCTGTGGGTGCCACCGATTGAAGAGGAGGACATTTCTGAGGGAGATGCAGAGCAACAGTGAAAGAGGGTTTTGTCCAATGGTAGGGATGGTTTTTGGAGAACCTGAGGGGAAAACTGCCCTAATCTACAGTATCTGGCAGCTTTGTCCCACAGGTACAGGACACTCCTTTCCAAATGGCTGGTCCACATAGCTCTGCAGTGTGAGCCCTTTTCAACAAATCTACTGCTGACAGCATCATTGTGGTCTGCAGCCTCTGCCTGCAGTGTATCAACTGTGGTAAAAGTACCAGCTATTTAGATACCTTATTATTATTATTATTATTTTTATTATTATTATTATGATGTGCCATCAACTCAAGTCCAAATCCTCACAACTTGTTTAAGATAAGAGCTCTAAAAAGAAGTCTGCTATGTTCTAGTCTTGTGAGATCCTCCAGTGTCATCCCCACAGCTGTAGTCAATGTGTCCAACCAATAGGAAGAAGGGTCAGCCGCACACCGGAGGATAGATGAATATAGTGTGTATTTATTAATCCATAGGACACACAAAACATCAGGACATGAATACAGGACCTGTTAACACGTTTCACACAATCTTGTGCTTAACCTCCTTGGCGGTATGATTCTTTCCAATTTTTTGTGCTGAAAGCGGTACCATTTTTTTGCATGGAAATATGTAGTTTTTTATTGTAGGCTGTAATTTTTAGGAATAACTCACTAAAATCTGTCCGAACAAGAGTCTAGTAAACATTCCGGATATGATAAAATTTGAAACACGAAATCATAAATTATAATTTAATAAATAATCATAAAAAAAATAATAATATAATAATAATACATTTAATTCAATAATATAATCAAACCAAAAACACTGAAATTTGAAATACAGAGGCAAATTCGCACATCACTGAGCAAAGTCGCAAAATCGTTTTCAGTGTCTGATAACGAATTTCCCCCACGAATCATTATCACTCAATTCTGCAAGTGGTTCTGATTTACTATCGCTGTTCTAAAACCGCTTTTGACGTAAAGGGACGCTTTTTGGACGCCATGGACTTTTCTCAGTTTCCAGGCAGAAAGAACATTCAAAATGCAGGCAGGGAGCAGGACAAAGCAGTAGGGACAAAATATATGTGAAATGCATTGAAACAGCAATGACAGCAAAAATTACGTTTTTAAAAATTTCAAATTTCCCGCCGGTTCCGGCGCCCGTACGTCCCGACGTCACAGGGACCGGAACACGAAGCCGGATGCCGGATGCCGGCATCGGCGGGAGGAGATGGCCGGGGACGCTGCAGGGGACACATCGCTGGGGGAGCGAAGGACAAGGTAAGTTCTGCAGGGACCCCCAGAGCAGCGCCGCATGGTAAGCCCGAGTGTAGCTCGGGGTTACCGCTTTTGGTATAGAAATTTTACCCCGAGCTACACTCGGGAATACCGCCAGGGAGGTTAATCATAAGGTGCTTTTGATTAAGCACAATATTGTGTGAAACGCGTCAACAGGTCCTGTATTCATGTCCTGCTGTTTTGTGTGTCCTATGGATTAATAAATACACACTATATTCATCTATCCTCTGGTGTGTGGCTGACCCTTCTTCCTATTGCATTGTGTGTGGTGGAGAGCCAGAGCCTGCACCTGTTGTGGATTGATCTGGATTGTTTGCCTGAGTGGTATACCTTTGTTCTTTGGATTCAATGTGTCCAACCACCTATTAGTTGTCTTCGTCAGGTTCCTTCGATCTTTTAAAACATTATTTCCTTCTCCAGTGATCTCTCCCTTCTGAAAGTGTGACCAAAATAGGACAGTTGCAACTAGGGGTGGACTGACAACTCATGTGGCCCCCGGGCAATAGGAGATTATGGGGCCCCTGTGTCCTTGCCCAAACTCAAAAAAGCCTATGAAAAAGGTACCAGGGGCATCTCATGGGGCCCCCTACTGACCCCAGGCCCTCGGGCAGTGCCCAAGTTTCCAAATGGTCAGTCAAGCCCTGGTTGCAACTTTGTCATTTGGGCTTCTAGCTGGTTTGATCTCCTCCAAAATCAATCCTTTAGTTCTATGGGCTGTCTACAGCACACATACAATCCTTCTGTTTTTGTAGTTTCCAGCTTTCACCATAATTGACAACTGAGGAAATGAGAGCATAAACAAGTCTGATCTTTGTTTTCAGTGTAATTTATTTGCATTTGAAATGCAAAAGCAGCTCAATTACCCAACTTGGCAGCAAAAGGCCTCAATTGCTCCTCTTCCTCCTTCCTCAGTTTATGCATCCCGCCCCTCCACAAGATTTCCCTGCTTGCTCTACTTCTCATTTGTGGCCTCTAGTGACAAGGAGGGAAGTCTTACAAAGAGTTTCAGATGTGTAGGATATTCCATGTCTAGGGGCAAAAAGGGTCATGAAGCCAAACTGGGAAGGGTCAAGTGAAGGCTTGAACCCCTACAGAAATTCTCCTACACTCACCCTGCCATCTCCAGCATCCTTTCCAAGGCAGGTGTCTCTTCTTAAGCTATTGGTATGGAAGGAATTGAAATCATCCCCATGCCTTGCATCCTAAACCCAGCTTGCTCTCATTCCAACTTGTGTATTTAGCCCTCCTCCATGCATTTATGACCTGTGCTACACCACAGTGACAGGTACCCAGCTGCTATTATTTTACCTAGAAAGACCACTGCTGTTCCAACCAACATGTGGAAGGTAATGTGTATGTGTCATTAGAACATGATGTCAGTGGAATGGAACATAAGACCATGGCCACATGTAGCAGTAAACTATGGACAGGGACACTACATATGCTTCATGGCACAATGGGTCAGTCTTCAGCTGGGAAGGAAGCAAGAGGGGACATACTGCTGGAGCTAGTGGTGCTGTCGCATATCTATTCTAAAGGTGACAGCACAATCATCTATACCCTCTTCTTCTCACTCTCCTCATTTTTAACCTCCTCAGAATCAGCTCACATGTAACATCCCAGGCTAAATGTTGCCATGTTGCTAAAATTACCAGTTCCTGTCACTTCCCTGGCTTATTCTGGGTATATGTATTGTGACATAGGGTTGTTAGCTCTTGTGAGTACAGTTTACTCTACGCCAAAAGAACATTTCTGGGGTTTTGCTGCCCACTTTTATTTAAAGGAAAGCTAAATTTCACAAAAATATCTTCCCATGCAGGGGTTTTTCACCATCAATAGGAGAAAACAACATTCAAGCCTCCTGTCTGTCTTTATCAAACCTGTGGCTCAGGTCTCACGCCTTGGTCCTCCAGACCATCCAGAACCCGTCCCCAATTCTAGTACACAAACGCTGTAGCTCTTTCAGCTCTGTGTCTTTACTCTACAGCTCACAGCTGTTCTGTCTCTGATAGGCTCTCTCTGGCTTGGGGCACCTCTGACCCTGGGTGAAACTCTGTCTCAGGGCTTCTCTCAGACTCGGGCCTCTGGTCCGACACACATCTGACCCCCTGGGTGAGACCCTGTCTCTCGGCTTCTTTCAGACTCAGATCTCTGGCTTGGGGCACCTCTGATGCCCAAATGAGACCCTGTCTCCCAGTTTCTCTCAGACTCAGGCCTCTGGTTTGGGACACCTCTGACCCCTGGGTGAGATCCTGTTTCTCGGCTTCCTTCTCTCTTAGGCTAGGTTCACATCTGTGCAGGTGGTGCCACTGCGGATCCGCACGAAAATCTGACCACCCACACAGAGAAGTGCGGACCCGTGGGCGGGTGCCATTAGTTCTAATGGCATGCACCCCGCACTGGAAAATGCAACCGTACTGGGATCAAGGTTCCCGTGTGGGCTGTGTTTTCCATAGAAGTGCAAGGACTTCTTCCCTGCATGTCACAGGGCACAGGAGTCCATTCAAGTGACTGGATTCTCGTGCCCGTGCAAAACACGGCCCGTGCGGCCGCATATATGTGAACCAGGAGTAACAATCACTGGCTCTCATCCAGTCTTTTCTAAAAGAACAACACACACTTGTGCCATTAGTGGGCCACCCACACACATCAATGTTAACAATTTCATTCTTAACATTAACATTGCCAAGTGCAATAGAAAAGAGATATACAATGTTGTTAAAAAACAGAAAGAGCTGCAGCTCCCATCCCCTCATTTTTTAAAAACTCGGTTATTTGGCGAAATCTACAGAGATGATATTCAGTGTAAAATCCAATTTTGAGTCCAATCTGCTTAAATCATGGGCAAAATTAATTTTGATCATATTGTTGTTAAACCTTTTTTAACTTCAATCGAGATGAGATAGATAAAGTACTGGAAGTTTTAGCTCAAATATGATCCTAAGCTCACTTTTACCACTGCACAGGGAAAACAGAAAATCCGCTGAATGCACACAGTAATTGAAAAGATCAATGAATACATTTAACATTTAAGTTTGAACCCTGTTCATAAAATACAAATAATGTTAAATTATTTGCAGTAGTTTGCAGACTTACCTTGTTTGAGTTTAGCAAATATTTTGGTCACTGAATAGACCATTTTCAATTAGGCGGGTTAAAGATCAGCTTCTATTCACAGCAGAAATGCAATTTTTGTTTTAGTATGAAAAAGGCAGCATTCTAAAGCTGTGTTCTGAATTGTATTACATTCTGTAGGTACTATAAATACATAATTTACAATACCAAATCACAAGCATAATGTGCCTCTAATTACTGTATATAATCATTATTTAAGATGTTTTCAGTACAACATGGGCACATTATGTGGCGACAGTCTCACATTGTTTTCAGCAAACAGTGTACACCTACGCAGCATCATTATAAATCTGGGGTGTCAAAATTCAAACAGACATTTGACCATACTAATTCAAACCTTGTCTTCTGATCCAGTACTTTGGTGTTTCACAAGGCCTAAGGCACATTTTTATTTAAAGGAAAAAGGTATTGTGATAAGGTGAGTGTATAGAAGGTAACATGGTTAGGGAAGAAAGGAGGGAGGCAGTGGGTGATAAAATGGGAATAAACAAAAACATTCATGTTCACAGAAGTATCAGAGAAATAACATGTCAGGGGCGGACTGACAACTCATGGGGCCCCCGGGCAATAGGGGATCATGGGGCCCCTGTGTCCTTGCCCAAACTCAAAAAAGACTATGAAAAAGGTACCAGGGGCATCTCATGGGGCCCCCTACTGACCCCCGGCCCTCGGGCAGTGCCCGAGTTTCCAAATGGTCAGTCCACCTCTGTAACAGGTGCATGGAATAAGCAGTCCACATAGTCTTTAGGATGAGTATGGGGTCCAGAAACTGAAAGGAAGATAAGCAGTCTAAGTCCCCGGGCAAGCTGTGGTAGAGTGAAGCAATGACTCTGAAGTGGAAACAACAAGGAGAGAGACACAGTGCCTCTGAGTGTAGACTGTTAGGTAATTTAAAGGTTAAAAAAATAGGTTTAACAACTCACACGTAGAAAATGATAAGCGGGGTTAATTGTGCACAATTAACTTCTAGCTAAGTTCATGAATCACAGGGAGCGAAGTTGCCGGCTGGACAGCAGGGAGCGCTGGAGAGAGACAGTCTACATTCAGATGTGTTGTGTCTCTCTCCGTGATGTTCATAGAAATGTCCACTCTATCAGCAGGGGTAACATGAAGAGACAATAGCAATACACCAGATGACTAGGAAGTGGACCCACCTCAAGACAATATACTCTACTATACACTCACCGGCCACTTTATTAGGTACACCTGTTCAATTGATTGGTAACACAAATTGCTAATCAGCCAATCACATGGTAGCAACTCAATGCATTTAGACATCTAGACGTAGTGAAGATGACTTGCTGAAGTTCAAAGTGTCAGGAATGGACTCAGCACTGGTGGTGGGACTCACCTGCCGTGTGGGCTGCAGTACCAGGTGCTCTCAGCAGCCAGAAGCTCACTCCTGTAGTCAGCCAACACCTGGGGCTGATTGCAGGAGGTGTATTTAAGGAATGACCAGGCCTGTGATCAGGGCCTTGGTGTATGTTTCCCATGAGCCCCTGTACCTGGTATCCTGTGTTCCTGCCTCGTTGCTGACCCTGCTTTGATCCTGACCTCTGCTGACCATCTCCTGTTGAACCCCTGGTTTGCCTGACCATCCTTCTGCCTGATCCTCGGTACCGCACTGCCCGCTACCTGCTGAACCTGGCTTGTGACCCCAACCATTCTCTGCTTGCTCCTCCTGTACCACGCTGCCCGCACGATACCAACCCGGCCTGTCTGACTATGCTTATTTCACCCGACGATCCATCCATCCCGCACGGATCACCTTTAGTAAGTCTGCCTGCCTCTTCCCATCAGACTCCGTTCCTGCACTCCCCTGCCAGTACTCTCTACCACAGCCGGACGCACTCAGGGGTCGCGACCTGGTTCCAGTCTGCACCAAGTCCATCCCCACCATCAGGGGCCCTGGTGAATAGCAGGCTGGTACTTAGACCCCGCGCCCTGAGGAAATCCGTGCTGTGGGCTGCTAGAGACACTGCCAGGCGGCACCTGACAGTACCTTATGGCCTGCCTGACCATTCCACCTCTCCAGCCTGACTACGCCTGTGTTCCTGAAGCCTGCTACTTCCCTGTGTCAGTCCACACATTTCTGGTCACACCCGGATCCCTAACACAAAGCACCAGAATGGGGAAGAAAAGTGACTTTGAATGTGGCATGGTTGTTGGTGCCAGACGGGCTGGTCTGAATATTTCAAAAACTGCTTATCTACTGCGATTTTTACACACAACCATCTCTAGAGTTTACAGAGAATGGTCTGAAAAAGAGAAAATATCCAATGAGTGGCAGTTGTGTGGATAAAAATGTATTGTTCATGTCAGAGGTCAGAGAAGAATGGGCAGATTGGTTCCTGCAACAATCAGATGGTAGGGTCAGAAATTGGCATAAGCAATATGAAAGCATGGATCCATCCTGCCTTGTATCAATAGTTAAGGCTGGTGGTGGTGGTGGTGTAATGGTGTAAGGGAATTCCCGTGAGACGGCTGGCGAATAGACATGTGCATGCGCACAGAAATGCACGATGGCGTACACGCACGGTGAAGATTGGCGCCAGACGGACTATTTAAAAGGTGCCTCTGCCTGTGCTGAGTGCTGACTGGTCTTCA